TCTTATTTTGTTTGCATACAACATTATGTCGCTCTTCCTGAAAGTAGGGGTTTGCACATAAGCTTACTGGTTCTGTATTGTAACTCTAAGTTGCCTCACGGGCAAGGATGCAGTAGACAGGGCATCTGCAATATCAGGCCGTACGTTTATCTATATTATACGGTCTCTCTGACCCTTCTGAAGTTCACTATATTATACGGTCTCTCTGACCCTTCTGAAGTTCACTATACCATCCGGCTGGTGGTCACGGCATCTCTCAGTTCTTCTGTCAGCCTCCGACCGTCTCCCACCGTCATGCTAATCTGTTTCGCAACGGCGCCGTTCGTCTCGACCCTTGCTGTCGGTCGGTCGGGGTTTGGCCGCTCGTGCGCGCGCCTGCTGGTGCCAACTGCCTCCCATCTGCGTCCACCGGCCGAACCGACTCGAGTGCAGCAAACACACCGCGCTGGCGCCGCGGCCAACACACAGAAAACTCGGGCTAAATGCCAGCTACTCAATATCGAATTTCGCCGCTGTGTTCATTCAGAAGGCATGCAAAACAAACTTTCAAATGCAGAGTGCATTTAGTCTCAGAATTCATCATCAAAACGACACGCACGACTTGTTTATCGCTTTGTCAGTTTTTTCGTCTCCTACTTTTGCCTCCAGTTTTGATCCTGTTTTTGTGCTTTCCCATGCGTCACGCAGGGATACGTTTGTTTTGCTCCATCTTTCATGCAATCACCTCTCTCTCTCTCTCTCTCTCTCTCTCTCTCTCTCTTCTCTCTCTCTCTCTCTCTCTCTCTCTCTCTCTCTCTCTCTCTCTCTCTCTCTCTCTCTCTCTCTCTCTCCCACCCTCATTCTCTATTCGTCCCTGCACTCTCACCTGGTCTTTCCTGGTGTCTCTCCTCTCCTCTGTCCCTTCACTCTATTGTCTCCTTAGTCACCTCTTGGTGCCTCCTTCCCCCGTACCGCACCCCTATACCACAGCGTTCCACCACCTCCGTCAGTCAGGGTTTCCAGCGTCCTGACGCTACTTGTTTGGGCATTGCATGCACACCACGGGGCCAGACGAGGTGGGAGGGGGGTAGGGCTCGGCGCGGGTCGCCGCTCGTGTCGGGGCACTCCCTGTACCAGACATGTGTCGTGAGACCATCCACATGTATCGACACAGGCTGGAGAGGCAGTATTTTGTTCCTTTAGCCAGGTCCGCTGAAATAATTAGCTTTGACATGCTGGAGTTAATTCACGGTCACTCGTATTGTCCACGTGCTGTGGTTACTCCTCTCATGGCGAGAATTGAATCTCTATTTTGGATTCTGGAGTGGGCAATTTTGACTAAGCCAAGACCATGGACATTGATCTTGGGAGCTTCAACGAACAACTTAGAGACAGCGTCAAAGTAAAATAATAAAGACCTAGCCTTGGGCTGTTATGGTTCGCTGTAATGGAGCGATTCCATTTGACAGGCAATCGAAGTGTGATAGGTTTCCCGTGGCTACCCTCATTATGGCTAGTCATTTATCTCGATGGGCATGAAAACCGTGGATCCTGATAATGAACTTGTACCACCTCCCGTGTTGATGCTGGATAAATGTGTTCCCCGTCCTTAATGAAATTGAACAAAGTGAAGAATAGGGAATTGTATTAGGTGATGCAAAAATAATTTCTGTTTTTCAAAGTTTGTTTTGAGTAAAATCCCTACTTACCGGTATGTAGGCTTTTTCATTCATTTTGATGCAATACAATGCCACAAATACTCTTCCATCCATGCAATTTTGCATATATTTTGCTTAGCAAGCTTGCTACGGTGAATATCTTATTTATCCCCAGACGTTGGGAGTAGTAACGTCAATTACGGAAAATTGGAATACCGATACCAAACCAAATACCAACAAAAACCGTTGGGATATACCGAAACCAAACCAACTTGGGAACATGAGGAAAATACCAACATTTTACCAATTTCTTAGCCTCTTATACATAAGTGAGGGTTAATGATACCAACAAGCTACCAAACACATTAAGATTGAAATACCAAATACCAAGTTGGTATCGGCTTAGTATCGGTATACCAAAAAGTTGGTATCCGATTGACATTTGACATCTTTGGTTGGACACAGAAAGTGTCTTGTCGCTTGAATAGATTCGCAGCCGACTTGAACGCTCGAAGGTATGCTGCACTTTCTGAGATGACAGTTCAATTATCACGGTATCGCATGGAGATTGAAGGGCCCTCTGAAGTGAGACATGGCTTATTTAGCCGGACCGAAATATCACGTTTGTCCAGTTTTCGGCTGCGGTGTGACCAACTGTCTGGCTCCACCTGTCTCAATATTGCCAGCTGCCTTTCTCTGCCTGGCTCTGACTTTGCTAGCTGTTTGGCTCTGATTTGACCAGCTGCCTGGCTCAGACGAGAGGTTTCTACAATCTTAAGCGCGGAAAGGTGATGACCTCAGTTCTTGTCCGAGAAACGATAGTAGTCCGGCTACAGTAGACCAGTCGTGGCAGAATAATCGCAATAGACTAGGTTCAAACTAGTCATTGAAACCAATACGACTTTCCACAAAGTCGCAGATGTCAGGGATGTCAGAGGATTTCAATACCCGTCGTCGGTCTGAACCCATGTCAGTTCCTGTCGTCTGATTGGATTTTTGAGCTGCTAGCGTCGTGAATAGGCGACTGTGCGTACCGGCGATGTAAGCCGAAGACGGTGGTGGACCGAAAAAGGCCACAGATTGATAAATATAGACCCGCAGCTGGTTACTGACTGCGATACTGTAATGAGAGTGATCCTGAGTCGCGGGTTCCGAGAATGAGTGACGGATGCTGACTGATTCGTGCTGCTAGTGGACGGAATATGAGACTGATCGGGATACGGAGAAACGAGACGGATAGATGACTGGCGCCTACGACCTACGTTAGGTGTATGGCCAGCGCTGGACAGCGCCCAGCCACTGCGCGCGGCCATACACCTAACGCGCCAGGTGTATGGCCGCGCGCGCGGCGGCTGGTCGGCTGAGGCTGAAATGAGTGACCGGACATTGTGCTGGCCGACTGAGCCGACGGTATCGATGACGGCTGAGTCACAGAGCTGCCATTGCTGGCCCCGTGTCCACGCGCTGAGGTCAGAATGCAGGGTCTGCACAGCGCGGCTGCAGCGAGACTCAGAATGCGGGTCACTTTGCATTTAAAACGAGCGGGGACCGAGTCCTGATTGGTAATCTGATGACAAAACTTCTCCCTTAGAATAGCTAAGGGAACTGGAATAGCAGCCAAGAAAGATACATTTAAGTTGGAAGAACTGGTTCTTATGCTCTCTAAAAAGCTTCTCAACATCAAAACTACACTTTTTCGGTTCAAGTGATCATAGTTATGCCATAGACGTTAATCCTCTTGTTTTGTAGCTTTGAGCCTTATACCTGGCTTCGTCAGCCCTGAAGTAATAATCCCTGAGTAGAGACCCGGCCGAGTCTGTCGATGTGCTGGCCTCGTCGACTGGTTCGGCGGCCTTCGCCTGCCGTCTGCCCGGCTGCATGGCCCGACCTGTCCCCGGGCCTGTGCGCTGTGGATGGGCGCGACCGTGTACGATCCCGGAGCTTTCCTTCTGCGCCTGTGTATGTCGGCAGAGGCAGCGGTCCAGACGACCCTCGTTCATTGTTCGCCGTTCAGTGACGTATCATTGTGGTGCAGAGAACGGTGTGCCGGGGTTTCGTAATCGGCACAAAGCAGGTCGGACAGTCACGAGGGCTATGGACAGGTGGGCGGGAGTGAGCATGGACAGGGACCGTCGAGGGGTGTAAAGTGGCTCCCAGAACTCTAAAGATGCGAAATTTGCGTGAAGCTCGTCGGATAAATGCAACAGGTAGCTCAGGGATTGTTTTGATGATGTTGTTTGCGGAAGAGAAGTTTTCGCTTGGCGGTTATTAAAAAGACTTGCTTTCAATTTGTTACGGATCTGGCGCGCTGTTATTTCCATCTTAATTGAAGCTTGCCACCGTCGCGTCGGCTGGCGTACTTCGAGACCGGCTGAAAGCGGCTCGCACTGGTCTCGTCGCCTTGAGCTTTAAACTTTAGAGCGGGCAGAGAAGCAGGTGCAAATCCAGCTTAGGTGCGGGCTCTCCTTTTCTAGTTAAATCCCAGTACCCAGTTCCCGCTACTTGCATGATTACCAGTGAGAAGAACATCACTAAGAAAACAGCGCTTCCCCAGACGCCGTTTGCGTGAGAGCCTGTCCAATTCTGGCAGCAGGATCTAGCAAAACACACTGGCATTTAACGCATCAAAGCCTGCCCGCCCGAGAGCAAACAATGAGACATCGACCGGTGGTCTGAGGCGGCGCTGCTTCGACCGTGCCCTAATCAGGCCCCTTGCCCCGCTGAATGGAACCCATCCGCCATTCAACCAATCAATCGCCTGAACATTCGCGTTTCATCAGCCGCTTATGACCGTGATTTGGCTATGCTTGGTGAGGGCACAAACGGCTTCAGCCGCGGTCGAACTGTCCGAGCAGACCTTAGTGGGGTCGTAGTGCTGCCGCTTTGTCGATGATGAAGTTGAGAGTGGCAGCGTCACGAATTTGACTGAGCTGCCTGATTTTATCATGAGAGACGTCTTGGCAGTTTTGGTTCGGAGGTGAATCATTCACATAAAACCTGTTCCTGTATTCTACGGTAGCAGAGGCCATTCGTTTTCATTACTTGATTTGCTTTGCCCATACCAGTGAAGTTTTGTTACGGGACCCATGAGAAACAAATATTTATTGCTGTCAGCTTTTAGCTTTATTTCCCAAGTTGAATATCCGCGTAACAGGCGCGTGCACTTCCCAGTGCACTCGTCGCTTCCATCGAGTCCCTACCCGAAGTGTCGCATCGCACTGTAGACTCCCCTTTGTGAGTTCCATCACTCGTTTCTCATTTCGATGAACTTACTTCTCTTTCATTGATGTCTGACCCGTTTCCTATCTGTTCTAACTGGGTATGGCCGTTTATCTGACGCTTCTCCTTTGTGTGTGTTTTCAGTTGATTTTCAGTGGCGAGTACACCAAGGCGATGAACAAGGACTGGCACAGCGGCCACTTCAGCTGCTGGCAGTGCGACGAGTCGCTCACCGGCCAGCGGTACGTGCTGCGCGACGACCACCCCTACTGCATCAAATGCTACGAGAACGTGTTCGCCAACACCTGCGACGAGTGCAACCGGCTCATCGGTATTGACTCCAAGGTGAGCTGAACTGAGCTAGCGGTATCGACTCCAAGGTGAGTTTAGCTGCATTGGCTGGCGCTGTTAACTCCAAGGCGAGCTGAACTGAGCTGGCGGTATCGACTCCAAGGTGAGCTGAGCCGAGCTAGCGGTATCGACTCCAAGGTGAGCTCCGCTCAGCTAGCGGTATTGACTCCAAGGTGAGCTGAACTGAGCTAGCGGTGTCGACTCCAAGGTGAGCTGAGCCGAGCTAGCGGTATCGACTCCAGGCCAAGGTGAGTTCAGTTACATGGGCTAGCGGTAATTAACTCCTAGGTGAGCTCCTGATTTAGCCGCTCCGAGATAAGCACGTATTCTTGAGTTAGCGTTATGGACTGGTAACTAGCGATATGGACTCCGTATGCTGAGTTATCGGTATCGACTCTGACGGAGCTCCGCTTCTTGAGTTAGATGTAAGAACTCTGGTAAAGAGTTATCTATCCTTCTTGACAGACGTGACAATTGAGAAGCCAAATTGGCAAAGTTTAAGTTTCGGAATGGATCAGCCTCTAATAAATCCAATTGGCAAATTATCCAGTTGATACCTCAATCGTAAAAGCAGCATAAGGATCACACCTTTCTAAAAAGAATAACAATGAACATCCAACGACAAAGTCACTCGATTAACACTTTGTTTTCGAATGAAGCGGCCAGTAACCGCATGTAATAACCATTAAACCCGCGCCCGACACCACTTATCGCTCAATCAGTGTCACCGGCGCGAGCTAAAACGCGTTCCTCGTTCTACGCACCTGTGGGCTGCGTGGCGCACTGCGGCGTGGCGTGGCGCGGTGCGTCGGTCTGCGACGTACGTGGGCGGCATTGACAGCCGGAATTGCCTCGGTGACGCAACTCGATGTTGTGCCGCCGCCGCCCCGGCCGGGAATGACGTCACCAGGGCGTTCGTCCAGCTGTCTGAGGAGATGTGAGCCGAGCGACAGAGCCGGTCAGATCTCTAAAGACGATACCGTCATGCAGAAACAGACGGGCTGACATACAGGCAGACTGACAGACAGACAGACGCGCCGTTCTGTTAGCATCAACACTGTGACCGGTGCGTTCCACTTCGCTGCGTGGCTCCGATATACGGACGCTGCCGAGAGACGAGTGCTCCGACGTGCCGGGTGCTGAGTTATTTGTGGATGATCGTAAAGCGGCGCCGGCGCCAGTAGCTCTCTATGACCACTCCATTGACTCAGTATTGTTCCATAACCGGCTGTGCTGTTACGCCACGATTCAGAGTCCATCTCTTATTGGAGTGAGGTGAGTGTTGCAAACGCCACCTGTATGCAAACCGGGGCTGTTCGTGTGCGGGTGCTGTGATCAGACTTGGCAGTGGTAGGGATGGACCAGAGTGAGAGTGGGGAGTCGCCGGTTGTCAATGCTAGTGCTGCCAAATTCTTAACTGTATCGGGAGAGCTAAGCATTGCAGATGGTCTGTCGTCACTGTCAGTAACATCAAGGGGCGGCGTAGGATGGAGTCAAGTGGCTTGATTGCTTAAGAAATGTGAATATCAGCTCTTAAAAGTTGGTACTCATTCTTATTAATCCTCCATTATAGCCTCAAAAATCCGCATTTGCCTGGCTTGGTCAAGCGTCCTGTTAAGTTTTCATTCCTCTTTGCCATGTTCAACTAGCATTGGTAGTTGGCACCTGGCCTGTTTTCTGCTCTCTATCCGATTCCGATCATTTTCTGTCGCCATTACTCATGTCTTGCGTTATCCACGGCATAGTTTGAACCTTCCCAGTCCTGCGCTGCCCGCCCGCAGTGGGCTCGCCTTGTGCCCTTCCCCTCCCTTCGCTCCCTGGCTCCGCCGTGCCGGTGTTCCAGCCGAGAGAGAGGGCTGTGCGGCACCCGACGGAGGTCGACTATTTTCGACCTGCCGGCCGGCCGCTCGGCGAGTCAGGCCGGGGAGGGCGAGGGGAGTGGAGGGAAGGAAGTCCGCGGATCCCCGGTCCCGGGCTGCTCACAGCCACGGATCGGGTCACGGGTGGATCGTGATGAGCCGTGACAGCGACTCAGGTCACAGGTCACGGTGGGCTGTCACAGACTGGCTGGGAAAGGGGGCAATTGGCTGCCATCACAGGTCAGAAGGGCGCAGAGAAGGCACCGTCGCTCACGCATATAACTCAGCTGAATACAGTTCCCTTCTCTTTAAATAACATTTGCTTTATTTAATAAAGCATTTATAATAGCCGATTTCACGACGGCCATCTGGTACACATTTAGTGCACATCTGGTACAGATTAGGTGCATATTTGGTCAAATTAGGTTCAGTGTGTCTCTTAGTAGCTATTAGCTAGGGTTACAGTAATTGTTTACATGCCTGCTTTGTCATATTATCGGAGAGTATCATCGATTAAAACACTGAAATAAATCCATAAAATAAAGATATTTGCTGTGAAAGAGATAAGGTGCAGATTTGGTCAAATTAGGTGCACTCGCCGGATAGCCCGTCGTGAAAACGGCTATTGTCTACTTGCTTAATTGAATAAATCGATTTCGCTGTCCATGGTGAAAGATACCAACATGGGCGGCAAAGTATGGGTGTATGTATAGCAATGTAGCAATATAGCGGCGATTGAAAATGCTATTTCAATAATCAACACTTAATAATCCTCTTAGTTTCTTTTACATGTTCTGTTACATGTTCGAAAATTAGAATGGAGCTTTGTTACCTAGTTGATAATGTTAGATAGATGTTCTTTAGGAATTTGCGGTTATTTCGTTCATCCTGCAGTAACTTCGCATTGGCTATGATCCCTTGACAGGTAACGGGCAACCTGAAACAGTACGACAAAATAATGTTGCTGCACGCACCATTTTATCGGGCCAGCCTGTCAGTCATGTCAGTAATGCGGACCTTTTTACAATTACCAGTTACCTGCTGAAACCGCTGTGGTCGAGGAATGGTCTAACGCAAAAACTGCACAACCGTACCGGCTCAGGCATTCTTAGAACTCCCTGTGAATCCCCTGGAACCAGGAATGTTGTCTGAAGTTGTTTTGAAGTCGATTCTCTACGGCTCAAGTCCTAGCTGGTCACGTGAATTGAGCTAGGTTTTGTTTATCCGTGAATCCGTTGAGCTTACTTCAAGGGTGATGCATAATCCAAACAATATCATTTTCTTTTGATCGCTGATCACCGTTTGATCTGCCGCTATTGGTATCTTCTAGTGGTGTCAATCGGAACTTGAATCTTCGGAATTCCGATTCTGTCCAATGTCCAATTCGGAATTCGGTTGGACAATGGCCGCAGGCTTTGGACAAATTTGGACAATCGCTTGCTACACCTCAACATTTTTAAAAAGTAGTCGTGTTTAACATTGATTGGCTATTAGAAAGCTCAGCTTTCGATATGATTAACACTTTTGAGCTTGTAACGGTACATGAAAAGCAAATTAGATAACAGTGTTGAGTGTAAACTATTGCGTAGGTGTCGGACACCTTTGGACAAATGGCTGGCTTGGACATTTTTGGACGGACAATCGACGTAAGCATTGGACATTGGACGGATTTTGGACATACGTTTTCTGAAATTGACACCACTAGTATCTTCATCTTTTTGTCTGATACCTACGGCCATTGATTTTTTTCCGGTCACCGTCAGCAGAAGATACGTACTGTAGTTACATGCAGACGCAGTAATGTCCGTTTCTAAGCCCTAAGCAGTGCGCTTACCAGTGCACCTAGTGGAAAGAAAAAAATGTCCTGATTTCATACCAGTATGGCGGAGTATGGTTCCAAGAATGATTTACATATGGTGCTACGATTTACATACGAAACGCTCCACTTAATTAAGTTTCAAACCCGTCCAGTCCGCTCGGTAACATTTTGAGCACTTGTAGTTCGTCGTTTGTTGAATCTGGTAGTATCCCTCATTTAGTCCCGCATGTCATCATTTAAAAACGGTTCACCGTGGCCAGCCTGACATTATACCTGTGCAGCAACGCACTTAATTTAGAAGCACCGTCTGCTGAATGAACTCTAAAATCGGGTTCGACTCTTGGGTAGGTTCAACTCTTGGATAGCTCGTTCTCAGTAGTGGAGCAGGGAGTTATTACTTAGTCATATGCCATTCGTGCATAACATTGTCTTATTTATTCAGGGGACATTCAGAGCCACCGTCACGTTGGCAGGTCTAATTACATTATGTGCTTACCTATTCCCTTAAGTTGTCCCTGTAACTCGGATCTATTCCTAAAACTCCTCCACGTCGGGCCCTCCCACTCGATCCGCGACTCCTGGTGGTTCGACTTGGATGCCGGCCACGGTTTATCTTTTCTGTAGACGTAACAAATGCCGGACGACGCTCGGCTTTCAGCGGGCACAAATACAGCGTCCGCCGGATGGGAAGGCGGCCCGGACTGGACGGCCGAGAGGGGATACAGCGGTGGTTGGGAGGCTGAAACTGCGTCAGCTCCTCGAAAGGCGCTACGATAGACAATAGGGAATTTTCTGTGGAGATATATCGTTGATGACGTTGATTTGTCAAGCATGGCCATAATGGTACGGACGGGAGAGAGGTACTATGGACAAACCTGTGAGCATGTTTACGCCGCCATCTATTTTAGTGATATGGGTCAGGCAGTGTTGGACTCAGCGGAAGCTTGGTAGATCCATCGGCTTGTCAGAGTTTAGGGAAGAGACTTATGCCAGGGTCAGCAAGAACGATCCTCGATTGACTGAATATCCTGTGGAACTGTAAGCTTGGCTGAGTTTGAGCGTGGAAGCTATATATGTAGATATTAATCGGATTATGACTCTAAATCACCTCCAGAAGTAACCAACCACCTCTGGCTAGTAGCCTTAACCTATTCCCGCTTTAGGGAATATTAGCGTTCCTCTGCTCTGCACCGAGTATTTCCGCCCCAGGGCGCGCGCTCTCCGACTCGACTGCACTACCGGAGCCGGCTCTCCGGACCGTCCCCCGGGACCCCTCGGCCGGGCGGCGAGCCCGACGCACTGCCCGAAAACACGGCCGGCTGCGACGGGGCAGATTGGTTTCGACTGTTGGGTGTTACGTAGAGGGGAGGTGGGGAGGAGGGGGAGTGGGAGCGCCTTGATCGGTGAACACTCGAGTGTGACGGGATGGTTTCCGGTCATTTTGTGAAAACTCGTTTTTTATTGTTCGACTTGAAGTCTGTAATTACTTGCAGTTTGTTTTCGCTCGTGTCAGATACTGGACTCTGTCTAAATGAGCGATTGCTCTCTCATCCAATTCATTTTCACCACGAGCTCGTTCAGTGCTTTTAGGTATTGAGTGCTAGCTCGTGTTACAGTGTGGAGTCGAGACCACTGAATAACAGGTTTGTCACCTGTCACGCAGAGACAGGTTCCCAGAAATAGTGCCACGAATCCGGGTAAGGCAATAAGCGTGCAATTATCTGCCGCAGCGATCTAATTACCAGTATAGCGCCTTTTGGGGCGACTAACGGAGCGAGCGAGAGGGTGAGCCTTGCACGTGCGAAATTTCGAGGGGGTACCTCCAACTGACTTGTGCACGGCACCCTACTAACCGGTCTCTAGCGATGTGCCAAATTTGAGCACAATCGGCCCAGCCGTTCTCGAGATCTGGAAGCGGCACCCTGCACGTGCGCACGTGCAAAATGGGTCCCAACTGACTTGTGCACGGCACCCTACAAACTGGTCCCTAACCGTGTACCAAATTTGAGCGCCATCGGTCCAGCCGTTTTCGAGATCTGGAAACGACCCCTGCACGTGCGCACGTGCAGCAGCACCCCAACTCTGGCACATGGATATGCAGTGCCTAGTGGGTGCCTACCTACATGCCAACTTTCAGCGCAATCGGCCAAGTAGTTACCGAGATATTGCAACAATTACAAAACTGACACCTCTTCGTTTTGCGCGTGGCACGTGCATAAGGGGTCACCCACATGCATCGGGAATAGTCCAATACTTGGTAGAAGGAATGAAGCTACCCTACAAAAATTACCCCGTGTAAATCGGTCAAGTGGTTGCTGAGATATAAGCCTCGCAAAAGCGTCCGCACGGCCGGCCGGCCGGCCGCTCATACTCAGAAATTTCTGTTAATCTAAGGAAAGACTACGCTCGCTTCGCTCGCTCCGTAATAACACATCTTCACGGCGGAGCTGTGAGGGAACTTTGTGCATATTGCTTACTCCTGCTGACGTAATGATCAAATTCAAACGAGGGTGGTATGCTTCAAAGCTATCTATATTCTACAAGTCACTGAAGGGTGTACTTGAACTTGGCCAGTTTGGCCTCAAAGGTAGGGATGTTGTCAGAATTGCATTATACAGGATTACGCCTGAATGAACGCATTATGTCTTCATGCGGCTGGGTTTATTTTAACCACTATCAGAAGTGAGCTGAGCAATGATCATGGTAACAACTAACAAGATCCTCAATAATTCCATTGACAGGATGCTTTATTGGTTTCATGAATCTGAGATCTTGCGTTATTCTCATGTGAGCTATACAAAACTAAATGGCTCCTAAACCAAATAGGATGCCGTTTCTTTGTGCGTGCCAGAAGGCAGCAAACAAATATGAGCGAGATATAAAGAACGTCTGAATGCACTGTGAATCATAGTTGAAATTACCTCGGAGCCTTATTGACATCCATTTGATATGATGAATGGAGCAACGGTAACATGGTAGTGGATAGCTCAACCAATATCAAATATAAGATTATCAGTAAGTGGATCCTCCATTCATACATACTGGCAGCCTGTCCACGTCGGTGCCTAATGCTCTGTCTACGTAGACGCGTGGATAACATATCTGTATAAATATATACCTCCCCGGTTATTGACTGCAAGAACGGCGCGTTCTTAGATCAGCAGACGGTCATGGTTGTCACACCGTCCCTCCGGGTGCTGCTCGCGTGTCCGTCCGTCTGTCCGTCGGTCTGTCTGTCTCTCTGCTGCCATCTCTACACTGTGTGATCGATACTTTATGCCGGCTGCGACCTAGTGGGTTACAGCCCACACACGACACTCGACCAAGTCTGTCGTTATTCTGACTGAGGGGATATGGATCTGATATGGGGGGTATGGCTCCTACTCTGATTTCACCGAGTTTGAATATGACTGAGTGAGGCCGTATTGAATGTGGAATATGGCATCACTTCCGCTCTTCTGGGAGCGGAAGTATTGGCAGATTTCCCAGGCGTGTCCGATGAACCGCGGAACTTCTTAGTGGTCAGATGCATTTGTTGTGTATAGCTTGTGAGGATATATACCTAAATGGGCTTCTGGCATAATGCAAAGTACATTATGATTGTATGTGAATTCAGCACGTAGAGCAGAGCAACAATTCAGTTGAAACCGGCGACGGGGGTGAATGTCTAGGTCAAACATTGATCCTGGTTTGACATCTGTGAATGGATTCCTGTATGCATTTTTAAATCCATGCTAATCGTTACCATTCTCATTCAAATTGTGCAAATATGACACAGTCGCCGTTTACATTTCACGATGACCATTGTATTCTGATTGTCTGCACGTGAATCCGTGTTCTGCGCCTAAATCACTAAATCACTGACCACCGCCCTTATTCTGTTACCCGTCAGGACCTGAGCTACAAGGACAAGCACTGGCATGAGGCGTGTTTCCTGTGCAACAAGTGCCGCATGTCGCTGGTGGACAAGCAGTTCGGCTCCAAGGCGGACAACATCTACTGCGGCCCCTGCTACGATGCCCAGTTCGCCACGCGCTGCGACGGATGCGGCGAGATCTTCCGTGCAGGTGAGTCCCACAGGGGACAGGGAGACAAAGTTTTTCGGCGGGGGCTGATAGCGAACTGGTACAGTGATCCTTGGGTGGGGTGGAAAGGGGCGTGGGTTAAATGGCTACTAAATAATGTGTGGCAAGTGCGAGGTTAATGGAATAAGTTCCACAGGGGATTCAAGTTTCTGAATGTTGTTCACTTATAGCCGCATGCATTTGCTAGGGCCCATAAGGATCTACATTCTCACTTTTCAGGCATATTTGACTCTTCGGTTCTGATGTTTACCAGTTACCACAGGTTACCGGAATTAGTTGTTTCCAGATTCAGACTTGTCTCGAGGGGCATGACCTTGCGCTAGCTCATCAGATATTGTATTCAGCCGACTTCCTGTTGTTCTGGTATTCCCTGATAATACATGTCTCGGTATTGTTGAAGGATTATTGTCCGGCAAGCGGATCCGTGCGACAGATTTTTGTAACAAATGAAACGCGGACACGGTTACATCGCTTCTTGATCCGGTTGCTCTTCTTAAGACTTAGTATCCAAGATACAATATAGGCACTGAATGTTTGACCCATGGATGCTAATGGAATATTTCTTTGGAGAGGCATTGCAATGTTTTTGCGCTGTCTGCGTGTCATTGCCTTCTTCATAATCTGCAGCAATAGCATTGCTTATGTAGAGTAGGTATATGTATTATGTAGTGTTTCTGATCATTCCTACACCACCATCCTGACCCCACTGAAGACATCACTAACCGCAGACCTGACCGTGGCTTAGAGTGTCACAGTGCCGAAAATCTGTCCTCGCGGCCGCACGGACCCCGGCATTAGCACCGGTCCATCTCAGTTCTCACTGTCACACCTGTGTAAAAACTGCGAGAACAGTTCACTGTCACCTGTGTAAAACTGCGAGAACAGTGCAGTTCCAGTAGACTGAGCCATGCCTGAACTTCAGCATAACCCCCGGAATCTCAGTCGCACTTCCCCGAAGTCGCATAATCCAACAGAACTTGCCTTGAGTGTTTTGTTTTACCTGCTTCATTAATCATCCCACATCATCCATTTGTCGGCTCTAGGATAGCGTGTTCTGCGTGGAGGACGAGTCGGCCATACGCTTGGGGAACGCCGTTTTTGGTCGGCACTGTAATTGTCGTTCAAACGGCAACCATCCAATCGTTATCGTAGATCCAATCGGACCAGACTAAATATCCAGCCAATGTCGGTCAGAATGGCAGACGGACCTGGCGCCTCTCGTACCGTATAAATAGCCTTGCCTGTGTTTGCCCGCCGGATGACACGGCGAAGTGAAGAGTCCTCCAGTGACCCTTGCTCGCGACGGATCCTCTTTTTGCTGTTTGCCTTGCTACTCCAGCGTTGGAATCACCTATTCCAGAGTAGGACCTGCTTACTCCAGCGTTGGACTCGTCTATCGCTTGCGGCCAGCTTTCCTCAGCTCACCCTCTATGTTTGTGCCACCGACCATGTTGTCCTCTCTGTGGCTGAGTCAGGTGTCACCTCCCGAGAAACGGGGTCGCCAAACCGCGCCGTCAGCGTCTGCCAGAGGTCGGCCTCTGCGTGACGTCACGGGACAGGGGCCCGTCGTGTCCGACAGCGCCGGCCGGATTAATGACCCGGGAATGTTTTAACGGTGTCCGCGGCATTTTGACGTGCGTGGTAATGACTGAGAGTTTTTTGGTCGCATTTGTGGCTGTCAGGCGAAGTGTTTTTGTTTTGTTTTTTTTGTTTTGTTGGGTTAGGCCCTTTCGGTCCACAAGACCATTGCAGAGCCGGAAGGATGATAGGAATTAGGGGGAGACATTGGTCTGGGCAGGCACCCTAGTGAGTCGCCGGGGCTGAGCCCGTCCAGAGGACAGGCCACCCAGCCCCAAGGCACTCACTGCACCCGGCTACGGGGTGCGCTCCCTCGGGAGCAGCGGTGCCGCTCCAAGGGAGCAGCCCGCATGAGATAAAGTTGCCTGTCCAGCCCGGAGGGGGTTGCGGCGTGGAGGAGAAGGATTTCAGTATCCTGAGGATAGAAGCACGGAACGGTGAAGTGTTTTATTCGTGAATGAGACTTGTCTTGGTAGCTGTATTTCTGTGGGCAGTAGTGGCGAGATGGCAGTTGAATCAGATATTTGCACGGAGACCTAGTACTCTCTCTCTCTCTCCCAGGTGACATTACTTGGCTGACAGTTTTGCTCGTGAAGATGGCGCTAGTGGCCTGATGGCGGTACCGTACCTTTCACCGCCCGGCAGATGGCGCCGGATCGTCCCCAGCTTCTCTGTTCGTCCACAGGCGGCGCTAGTGGTCCTGGCCCCGGCCAGTGAATGCCCCCTTTGACCGAGGCCTTCGGTGACGGTCCAAATGTTGACCGATCGCACATGACTGTGTATGCTGGAGCACAAACAAATGAGCTCATCCAGGGGTCCCTAGGGTGATCTGTCTGTACTTTGCATGAGTCAGCGGGAGTTCATACTCATCTTCCTGCCCAGACCAAACGTACCTTGACGATTAATGCAGAGGGTTTCCGATATAGCCATACTTAAGCCGCCTTATGTGGAGATGGATTGATAGTCACTTTACTTACGATATGCTGCTTCTTGTACTAGGACGATGATAAGCTAGGAGAAACAAGTTGGCAAGGGATGAAGTTATTTCTAGCCTTGTTTGAGATGATGCGGTTGTCGATTTCTACATGGCCCACTTAGTAGCACCTTAAGTGGTTGAATCGCTTCCGGCTCGGCTGGCTGAGAACCTTCTGAAACTGGAGTTTCCAGCTTCCCGGCGATGGCGGCGGCGGAGGCGGAGGCGGTGTTACTGTCGTCGCCGTCTGGCCGACTGTTGATGCCCGCAGTAAATATTGACGTCGGTGGCGGCTGCGGCGGCGCACGACGCACCTGAGTTCGCCGTACGCCGGTGTCTGTCACAGTCGGGACCCGGGCGGGACCTGGTGGGGAGCGGCTCCCAGGACAGGCCTGTGTGAGGCCGCCAGACAGCAGTGCATCCCCAGTGAGGGTGTGGAAACCAATACCCCGCCAGAAGTGTTAGTGTTTTTGTGATATTCAGCAGTGAACAGTGGGCTAAATGGAACAGCCAGACGATGGTAAGTTGTATAGTTCAGGAGCGATAGTATGTGGAGCGGCTGGGAAACGTTTCAACTTGTGCTTTAAAGGTCTGAATAGGTTGTGTTGTTTAAAGTGTTATCAGTTATGCGGGTGCGTCACGCCCTGCGCTGCTATAGCCTTGTTTCCACGCCTGTTGCGGCTTCATCTAATTCACATTTTCACTTTACTTCACTGAGGCGCGATTATGCCTCGTTCCTCGAGGCCACCTAGTGGGACTTGTCAGAACTACTGGTTTCACAGGTGTCGCCCTGGTGTGTTTGGTCGGTGGTCGACTGTCATTGCTGTTACTGGCACTACTATGTATACCTACCCTGTACCCATTTTAATCATAAACAGTCTTTCCTGGTGCTAGGTAGTAGGTATACAAAAGCATAATACTGCCGTTTCTCGAGTCCAATTTAGCCCCTTCATTATATGTGTTTCGAACTGTATTGCATTATTGCAGATGGAACACTGTCTTCGGAGTCTTCTCATTAATTATATTTCTATTGTTGGCTGTTGGCCGTATACCAATATTCAAGCATGTACATTGGCTAATGAGCAATAAGATCATAAATTATCAACGCTGCTAATCATCAACATTGTCACATCTGACAAGTCAAAGTTAAGCAGAATGTGATAATGATTGGGGATTGCTTCATTTTCAGCAACGTGAATATACATGAGTTAGAACGATAATAATATGGATGAAATGTGTCTACAGTAAAGGGGAATGAATAACGGACGGAATTGCGACTTTAAGGAATTTCACAGAGGTTTATTGTATATTCCAGACCATTGAACTACTGTGGTTTTCGGATCTCGTTAGTAGGATTTTTGCAGGGACTGCCTACCTCATCCCTGCCGAGGCATGTGCTTAATTCATTATTGAGGCAACTATTGAATAAGTGCAAGCTGCGTCAGTAAGTACGTTTTTCACCTTCCATTTGCTAATGCTGAATACCATATTGCCCCGCTGATGTCATCCGATGAAAATAGTAACCAGTGCGATTAGAATGACATGATAATCCTGACTCAGCCGCTCTCTGCTTCATGTAGCCGAACCCGGCTGGTGGGGAAGGGTCAGGTTGGCTCACCCCACCCTGCCCTGTCATCATAGAGGGCGGCGCGGGGCGGTCGCCGGTCCGCTCCCCACCAGAGGGCGGCGCACGCCGTGCCGCTCCCCACCAGAGGAGTGCGGTGGCGGCCCCGTTCCCAGACCCGCTATCAGGGAGGGGCTCTGCCCACTCCGGGCGCCTTATGGAGTCTGTGACCGGTACCGATCGGTTTCCCCGCTCCGTCGATGGTTTGGATACCGCCCATGCCCTTGCCGGCCACGGTGGGCAGGGCCGTGGGATGGATGATGACAGGAGGTAATAGCGTCAGACGTCGGTGTGCCCACGGAGAGGAGCAAAACGAATCGCTGGGAGAGGCAGGGATCCGTCACCGGAACCTCCCAACACGTCAGCTCCGATAGACTAGTGCTGCGCCGTGTACCAGACATCTTAATTTGATCCCGTAGAAAGGACGAAGTTCGGTGAAATTAACCCTCGCCGGCACAGGGGGGGGGTTGATGCAACCCCCCCCCCCTAAGGTTTTTCGCGAATAACTCGCGTAAAAAGCGGCCGATCGCGACGAAACTTTCAGTACCCTCGCATTGATCAATTTTACACCTATCCTGAAAATTTCATGACCCTGACCCCAATGACCTTTGACCTGTGACCTCTTTTATGTGACCATGTTTGGCCGAAATCGCGGTTCGGCGTATTTCGGCTCGCATTAGCCGCGCGTTTGCAAGCTTTTCGTGGTTTCAAACGTTCAAACATGTGATTTGATGTTGCTCCCATGCATTAGGGTGGGTGTCAAGGTCACCTGAAGGTCAGGTCAGGTCATTGACCTTTGGTGACCTC